TCGGAGAGAACTCAGAGGTGGTAGCACAGCCTCCATGTCACAGGACGGGGTTAGGCCCAGAAAGAGGAGAGACATCGCCGAGGTGAAGCTCTGATACCCTTCCGTGCTCAGGGGCAGACGCGCGCGGCCCTGCACGAAGGGGGGCAGGTCTGAGTCCCAGGCGAGGGCACCTACCTGGGTTTCAGGTTCAGACAGCAGGTACCAGGCACAACCAGGTCTCAGAAACCCAGGCCTGGTCTCCCACCCTCGACGCCATTTTGTCGCCTATCAAGACGGTGAGAAAGGCAGGCTGGTGGGGAACACCTGACACCTTACCCCTCCGGGCGACCTGATTGGTCCCAACTCCCTCCATTGCTCAGTGGTGGACCTTTGACCAGTGGTTGTGACCTCAGACATCTTCCAGGACAGGCGGGTCAGTGGCTGAGTGAGGTCATCTAGGCCCCCAACTCTGACAAGACAGGATGGAGGAAGGGCGCCTGTGCTGGACTAGGAAGTGTCTTTCCTTCCTAAGTAGCTTCAAATCCAGTTTTTTAAAGTATCAATGCTTTGCTCTGGCCGGTGTGCTCAGTGGTTAGAGCATCAGCTGGTGCACAAAGGGTGGCCGGTTCAATTCCTGGTCAAGGGCACGTACCCGGGTTTCCAGTTTGATCCCCACCCCCAGTCGGGGCACCTGCAGGAGGCAACCGGCGGATGTGTCTCTCACATAAATGTTTCTCTCTCTCTCTCTCTCTCTCTCTCTCTCTCTCTCTCTCTCTCTCTCTCTCTCTCTCTCTCTCCCTTCCCCCCACTCTCTCTGAAAAGCAATGGGAAAAATGTCCTCAGGTGAGGATTAAGAAAAAAAAGTACTGATGCTTCAAGCGCTCTGTGGGAGGGGGTGTGGGGCACGGATGGAACAGGATGGACCATGAGTTGGTACCAGTGAAAGTGGGGCATGGGGAACACGGGGTTAACACCATTCTGAGTAAATGTGTGTGTTTTAAATTTTCCATAATAAAAAGGCTTTATTATTAATGCACTATCAAGAAACTTATTGAGTCCTCAAGCCATATGAGACCCACAGGCCACCAATTAGCACAGTCCTGACATCCCTAACAGCCCCCGGCGCTCTCTTTCCTTCATGGCAATTCTCTCTGCGAGGCCCGGCCAGGGAAAGACCAGGGAAAGACCAGGGAGGGACAGAGACACAGTGGCTGGGGAAGGGCTTGGAGCCGGCCATCGGCCATCGGCCATCGGCCATGCTGATGAGCGTGGACTCTGGGCGCTTGGAGGGGCCCCGTGGAAATGGGTCCAGTCACACCCCCTGCACCTGTCTAACCCATCCCCCCACCCCTTGCCCATCCCCCTGCACATCACTGCACCTTGCTCCCCTTTCTTACTACCCACCCACTAAGGGAAACTAGCAAATCGAGGGGTGGTGTCCTCAGGCTGCAGGAGGGGGCCTAATTCATTGGGATGAAAAATAAAATGCCTGAGCGGCTTGGCACATTCAGGGCGCCTGTGACTCCAAGAGGGTCGCACTGACTTCCTGCCAGACCTCCCACAGGTGAGGAAAGCTCACGCCCGGGGGCGGAAGCAAGGTGGGGAGAGAAGGTCCGCGTTTTACTTTTCCTTCTGTTTCTTAGGCTGCCTCCCATTCGCCACACTCACCTCCTAATCCTAACATCGTCCAGTTTATAAAGTGCTCTCATACGTACATCCTGTCATCTTCCAACCTGTGCGGTGGGAATCATCCCCATTTCACAGGTAAGGAAACTGAGGCTCCACACGAGGAAGGGCCTTGCCCACGATCAGCTCGCTTGTCAATGGCGGCGTCCAGGGCTGCTGGCCCTGGGTTTAATGTTCTGTACCCCCGACTGGGAGGGCTGGCGGCAGCTCCCTGTCCCCGGGCCCTTCGGCTCTCCATGCGCCTGCGGGAGGAAGGGTGTCGTTGCGTTCTTAAGGAGTCGGCTGGGGGTGGCAAGGAGGGTTTGAATGGGCTGCTCCGGGTGCCTTCACCATGGTTTTCATTTGAGGAAAAATTGGCCGGAGGAAAAGCCGGAATTTGAAACGGTCCTCCTGGGGAATGAGGGGGACCTTTGGGAATCCTCCCATGGCGCTGGGGGGAAGGCCCTAACAGCCCCCTAATT